TGCAAGGGGTTCGCTGTGGGAGCAAGCAAAACAACCTTTGCCCTGGGCCCAGGAGTCAGCCTGGCTCCAGACAGGCTGCAGCAGCCCCCTTACCAGCCGTGCCAAGAGCCAGAACCTGGGAAAGAAATGTACCTCACTGCTGAAGGTACTAAGATGTCAGCTAAGTTCCTTCTCCCCAGATCTGCCTGAGGTTGACTCAGCAACCTTTCCCCACTAATGACTTATGCAAAATACAAAGCCTAGGAATAATTTCCCAGATGACTTATTTTCTTTTAATCACCTCTGGTTTTGAGCTGCTGATGGATTGTTTGATACAAGAACCATTTCTCTGATCCCTCCTCCATCCTCTTCTAGTTCTCATGTGTGATATTGTGACTTATAAAAAGAAATATATAAAGAGATATATACATATGTATATCTATATATATATATATTTGCTTTTTATTTCTGGCACAAAGCTCCTAAAACCCTTGAAATTTTCTAAGCAATAAGAGCAATAATGTCCTGATAGTTACAACAAGTTCCTTTTGGTCACACCTGAGTTAATGTTAATGAGGTGACTTTTGGAAAGCAACTAAGGATGGAGGCTGGTTGCAGGGGAAACTAACCATGTGATTGGAGGGCTGGAACTTTCAGTCCTGCGCTCCTGACCTCGAGGGGAGCAAGACTGGAGACTGAATCAGCTGTCAATAGCAATGACCTAATCAATCATGTTTATGTAATAAAGCCTCAATCGAAAAGCCAAGAGAATGGGGTTCAGAGAACTTTGAGGTTGGTAAACACATGAAGGTACTGGGACAGTGTGAGCCATGGAAACTCCATGTCTGTCCCACACACTTACCCTGCTCATCTCTTCCCTCTGGATGTTCAGCTGTATTCTTTATCACATCTTTTTGTGATAAACTGATAAACAATATGTAAACTGTTTCTCAGAGTTCTGTGAGCCTCTTTAGCAAATTATTTGAACTGAGGAGGGGGTGGTGGTGATTTATAGCCAATCTATCAGAAGCCTCTTGATGAGGGTGAAAGAGGAGAGTGAAAAGTCTGGCTTAAAACTCAACATTCAAAAAGCCAAGATCATGGCATCCGGTCCCATCACTTCATGGCAAATAGATGGAGAAACAATGGAAACAGTGACAGACTTCATTTTCTTGGGCTGAAAAATCACTGCAGACAGTGACTGTAGCCATGAAATTAAAAGACGCTTGTTCCTTGGAAGAAAACTATGAGAAACCTAGACAGCATATTAAAGAGCAGAGATATCACTTTGCTGACAAAGGTCCATCTTGTCAAGGCTATGGTTTTTCCAGTAGTCATGTATGGATGTGAGAGTTGGACTTTAAAGAAGGCTCATTGCCAAAGAATTGATGCTTTAGAACTGTGGTATTGAAGAAAACTTTTCAGAGTCCCTTGGACTGCAGGGAGGTCAAAGCAGTCAATCCTAAAGGAAATCAACCCTGAATATTCATCGGAGGGACTGATGCTAAAGCTGAAGCTCCAATACTTTAGCCACCTGATGCGAAGAGCTGACTCATTAGAAAAGATCTTGATGCTGGGAAAGATTGGAGGTGGGAGGAGAAGGGGACGACAGAGGATGAGATGGTTGGATAGCATCACCGACCCAATGGACATGAGTTTGAGCATGCTTCAAGAGATGGTGAAGCACAGGGAAGCCTGGTATGCTGCAGTCCATGGGGTTGCAAAGAGTTGGACACAACGGAGCCACTGAACAATAACAAATCAGAAACACAGGCAATGGACTTCTGATTGGCATCTCGGGTGGGGATGTGCACTCTTATGAGACCGAGCCCTGAAATTGTGGGATATGATACTGGTCCTAGGTAGATATTGTCAGAATTGAGTTAATTTCTTGGTAGCATTGGGAAAAAAAATACATTGGAATCAGTGCCAGAATTGAGAATCAGTGCCATCTCAATCCATTGTGAAACTGTTTTTTTCCTCAATTGACTTAAAAAGACTACTCAAGTCTTAGTCTTTTTAACAATACTGTTGAAACAACCGGATACACATATGCACAAAAATGAGTCTCAATCTATATCTCACACTCTATATAAACTAACTCAAAATTAGTTAAAAATGAATCATATGGACCACTTTACGTATGGATCATATGTGACACATAAAGTGATAGAACTTCCAGAAGAAAGCATAAGAAAAACTCTGTGACCTTAACTAGGCAAGGAATTTTTCAGATACAATACCAGAGCATGATTCATAAAAGAAAAAATGATAAATTAGATATTATAAAAATTTAAAACTTTTCTTCTGCAAATCACACTGTTAGTAGAAGACAAGCCACAAATTGGGGGAAAATATTTGCAAATCACCTTTTTTACAAAGGACTATATATTCAGAATATATAGAGAACCTTTAAAACTCAACAATAAGGCAACAAACACCAACTAAACAATGGACATAAGATTACAATAGACATTTCTCCAAAGGAGATATCAGTCAGTTCAGTTCAGTTCAGTCGCTCAGTCGTGTCCGACTCTTTGTGATCCCATGAATTGCAGCACGCCAGGCCTCCCTGTTCGTCACCAATTCCCGGAGTTTACTCAAACTCATGTCCATCGAGTTGGTGATGCCATCCAGCCAATTCATCCTCTGTCACCCCCTTCTCCTCTTGCCCCCAATCCCTCCCAGCATCAGGGTCTTTTCCAATGAGTCAACTGTTCACATGAGGTGACCAAAGTATTGGAGTTTCAGCTTCAGCATTAGTCCTTCCAATGAACACCCAGGACTGGTCTCCTTTAGGATGGACTGGTTGTATCTCCTTGTAGTCCAAGGGACTCTCAAGAGTCTTCTCCAACACCAAGGTTCAAAAGCATCAGTTCTTCGGTGCTCAGCTTTCTTCACAGTCCAACTCTCATATCCATACATGACCACTGGAAAAACCATAGCCTTGACTAGACGGACCTTTGGTGGCAAAGTAATATCTTTGCTTTTTAATATGCTGTCGAGGTTAGTCGTAACTTTCCTTCCAAGGAAAGTTTTAATTTCATGGCTTCAATCAACATCTGCAGTGATTTTGGAGCCCCAAAAAATAAAGTCAGACACTGTTTCCACTGTTTCCCCATCTATTTCCCATGAAGTGATGGGACCAGATGCCATGATCTTAGTTTTCTGAATGTTGAGCTTTAAGCCAACTTTTTCACTCTCCTCTTTCACTTTCATCAAGAGGCTCTTTAGTTCTTCTTCACTTTCTGCCATAGGGTGGTGTCATCTGCATATCTGAGGTTACTGATGTTTCTCCTGGCAATCTTGATTCCAGCTTGTTCTTCCTCCAGCCCAGCATTTCTCATGATGTACTCTGCATATAAGTTAAATAAGCAGGGTGACAATATACAGCCTTGACATACTCCTTTTCTTATTTGGAACCAGTCTGTTATTCCATGTCCAGTTCTAACTGTTGCTTCCTGACCTGCATAGGGATAGCAAATAAGCATATGAAAATGTGTTTACTATCATTACTCTTTAGGGAAATGTTAAAACCACAATGGAATACCAGTACAAACTTGTTAGGATGGCTAGAAAAATATTTTTATATATGACAGTATTATCAAGTGCCAATGAGCTTGTAGAACAACAGAAATATTGCCAGTGATACAGCCATTTTGGAAAACAGTTGGGCAGTTGCATATAAAGCTAAACATATACCTGCCATACAACCCAACAATCTCACTTTCCTTGGCTTAAGAGAAATGGAAACATATTCATGCTAAAATCTGTACATGAATGTTTACAGCAACTTTAGTCAAAATCATGAAAAACTGGAACAACCCAAATGTTCTTTAGCCGGTAAATGAATAAACAAACTCTGGTACCTCCATGAGGGACTCCCAGGTGGCTCAATGGTAAAGAATCCACCTGCCAATGCAGGAGACGCAGGAAACTTGGGTTCAATCCCTCTGTTAGGAAGGTCCCCTGGAGAAGGAAATGGCAACCCACTGCAGTATTCTTTCCGGGACCATCCCTTGGAAAGAGAAGCCTGGATGGCTACAGTCTGTGGGGTCACAGAGTCGGACACAACTGAGCATGCAAGCAAGCATGGTATCTCTGTGGAGTGGAATACTTATTGACAATAAAAAGGACAAAGTACTAGTTGAGATACAATGTGGATCAGTCTTAACTGAATTTTGCTAAGTGCAAGAAGTCAGATTCAAAAGGCCACATACTATATGGTTCCATTAAATGACATTCTGGAAAATGTTTATAACTTTAGTGACAAAAAACAGATCAGTGATTGCCAGGAGTTAGTGCTGGGGAGAGAGACTGACTATGAAGGGGCAGGACAAAGGAGATTTTGGATTAATGTAGTTATTCTGTATCATGTCTGCAGTGGTGGATACACAACTCTGTGCATTTGTTGAGACCTATTGCAGTGCACACCAAGAAAAGTGAATGTTACTGTATGCAAATTAAAAAAAAATAGCCAGAGTATTGGAGGAACTCAAAATGGAATACTCTAATACATAAAATTGTATGTAAATGTACCATACACCTATGCTGAAGGGGATGGGAAAGAAAAGAACCAAACCTAAGTAATGTTAGAAAGCAGTTTTGACTGGATACAATAAGAGAACGGACAAAAAAGACCATACAGGTGTTGTACTCTAGTCAGGAAATCTGCTTCTCACAGGCTATGTCTTAGTGCTTCTGCAGCTGCCTCAGGGGCGGCTCGCACTGGGGTGTAACACTCGTTATCCACGGCAGTTAGGGTCCACAAATGACTGAGGACACTGACTTAGCAAAGCCTGAGCCGCTGCTCCTCCGGAAATACAAGGCGAGCTTCTTGTGAGGACCTAGTCACCACATCTTCATCAGCCAGTCAACACATAACTTTGTTTTATACGTGTTTTTGATTAAAGAAACTTTATTAAATTATGTCGTTGATTCATTAGCAATGAGCTCATGATCAACAACGCCACGACTTGTGCCTGAAGGGAGCTCGTCTAACCGCCATGTTTTCCCCATAGGGCGCGTCACAGCCTCCTCTGCTCACCAGCACCAGACGGCTCCTCTGCTCACCAGCACCAGACGGCACCTCAGCTCTGTGCGTGGGGACCATGGTAAACGGCAACATCACCAACAAAAGCGTGAAGACAAGGAAAATGTCTTTACTAAATAGACCATGAGACGGGCACTTGTTTACAGAAGAAGAGCAGACATAACTAGGCGGAGGGGCGCCTCATTTCACCTCGGAACACATGCCTCTGGCAACTAACTTGTTTCCCACTCTGCGCACGATTCACAAAACATCCTGAGTGTCGATTTGCAGGTGAATAAATTTTAGTGAGAAAGAGAATTCACAGTTAAGAATCCACAGTAGTTGCTGTTGTTGCTCAGTTGCTCAGTCGTGTCTGACTCTGTGACCCCGTGGACTGCAGCACACAGGCTTCCCTGTCCTTCACCAACTCCCAGAGTTTGTTCAAACTCATGTCCATTGAGTCGATGAGGTCATCCAGCCATCTCATCCTCTGTCCTCCCCTTCTCCTCCTGCCCTCAATCACTCCCAGCATCAGGGTCTTTTCCAATGAGTCTGCTCTTCACACGAGGCGGCCAAACTACTGGAGCTTCAGCTTCAACAGCAGTCCTTCCAGTGAACACCCAGGACTGATCACCTTTAGGATGGACTGGTTGGATCTCCTTGCAGTCCAAGGGACTCTCAAGAGTCTTCTCCAACACCACAGTTCAAAAGCGTCAATTCTTCGGGGCTCAGCTTTTTTCACAGTCCAACTCTTATATCCATACATGACCACTGGAAAAACCTTAGCTTTGACTAGATGAACATTTCTCAGTAAAATAATGTCTCTGCTTTCTAATATGGCTGTCTAGGTTGGTCATGGCTTTTCTTCCAAGGAGTAAGTGTCTTTTAATTTCATGGCTACAGTCACTGTCTGCAGTGATTTTGGAGCCCAAGAAAAGAAAGCCTGTCACTGTTTCCATTGTTTCCCCATGTATTTGCCATGAAGTGATGGGACCAGATGCCATGATTTTCGTTTTTTGGATGTTGAGTTTTAAGCCAGGTTTTTCACTCTCCTCTTTCACTTTCATCAAGAGACTCTTCATTTCCTCTTCACTTTCTGTCATAAGGGAGGTGTTATCTGCGTACCTGAGGTTATTGATATTTTTCCCAGCAATCTTGATTCCAGCTTGAGCTTCATCCAGCACAGCATTTCACCTGATGTACTCTGCATAGAAGTTAAATAAGCAGGGTGACAATATACAGCCTTGATGTACTCCTTTCTCAATTGGGAACCAGTCCGTTGTTCCATGTCCAGTTCTAATTGTTGCTTCCTGACCTGCATACAGGTTTCTCAGGAGACTGGTAAGGTTGTATTCCCATCTCTTGAAGAATTTTCCATGGTTTTTTGTGATCCACATAGTCAAAGCCTTTGGCATAGTCAATGAAGCAGATGTTTTTCTGGCACTCTCTTGCTTTTTCTACAATCCAATAGATGTTGGCAATTTGATCTCTGACTCCTCTGCCTTTTCTAAACCCAACTTGAACATCTTCAAGTTCTCAGTTCATGTACTGTTGAAGCCTGGCTTGGAGAATTTTGAGCATTACTGTACTAGCATGTGAGATGAATGCAATTATGCAGTAGTTTGAACACTCTTTGGCATTGCCTTTCTTTTGGGATTGGTTTGAAAACTCTGACCTTTTCCAGTCCTGTGGCCACTGCTGAGTTTCCAAAATTTGCTGGCATATTGACTGCAGCACTTTCACAGCATCATCTTTTAGGACTTGAAATAGCTCAACTGGACTTCCATCACCTCCACTAGCTTTGTTCGTAGTGATGCTTCCTAAGGCCCACTTAACTTCACATTCTAGGTTGTCTAGCTCTAGGTGAGTGATCACACCATCATGGTTATCTGGGTCATGAAGAGGTTTTTTGTATAGTTCTTCTGTGTATTCTTGCCACCTCTTCTAAATATCTTCTGCTTCTGTTAGGTCCATACCATTTCTGTCCTTTATTGTGCCCATCTTTGCATGAAATGTTCTCTTGGTATCTCTAATTTTCTTGAAGAGATCTCTAGTCTTTCTCATTCTATTGTTTGCCTCTATTTCTTTGTACTGATTGCTGAGGAAGGCTTCCTTATCTCTCCTTGCTATTCTTTGGAACTCTGCATTCAGATTGATATATCTATCCTTTTCTCCTTTGCCTTTTGCTTCTCTTCTTTTCTCAGCTATTTGTAAGGCCTCTGCAGACAACCATTTTGCCTTATTCCATTTCTTTTTCTTGGGGATGGTTTCCATCACCACCTCCTGTACAATGTCACGAACCTCTGTCCATAGTTCTTCAGGCACTCTATCAGATCTAATCTCTTGAATCCATTTCTCACTTCCACTGTGTAATTGTAGGGGATTTGACTTAGGTCATACCTGAATGGCCTAGTGGTTTTCCTTACCTTTAAGGAAATTTAAGTCTGAATTTGGCAATAAAGAGTTTATGATCTGAACCACAGTCAGCTCCCGGTCTTGTTTTTGCTGACTGCATAGAGCTTCTCCATCTTTGGCTGCAAAGAATATAATCAATTTGATTTTGGTATTGACTATCTGGTGATGTCCATATGTAGAGTCGTCTCTTGTGTTGTTGAAAGAGGGTGTTTTTGCTGTGACTAGTGTGTTCTTTTGGCAAAACTCTGTTAGCCTTTGCCCTGCTTCATTTTGTACTCCAAGGCCAAACTTGCCTGTTACTCCAGGTATCTCTTGACTTCTTGCTTTTGCATTTCAGTCCCCTATGGTGAAAAGGACTTCTTTTTTTGGTGTTAGTTCTAGAAGGTCTTGTAGGTCTTCATAGAACTGTTCCACTTCAGCTTCTTTGGCATTAGTGGTTGGGGCATAGACTTGGATTACTGTGGAATTGAATGGTTTGCCTTGGAAACGAACAGAGATCTTCTGTCGTTTTTGAGATTGCACCCAAGTACTGCATTTCAGACTTTTTTGTTGACTATGAGGGCTACTTCATTTCTTCTAAGGGATTCTTGCCCACAGTGATATACATAATGGTCATCTGAGTTAAATTCACCCATTCCAGTCCATTTTAGTTCACTGATTCCTAGAATGTTGATCTTCACTTTTTGCCATCTCCTATTGCTTGAGATCTAGGCCTCAGTTTACTCAGACTGATATGACCAAAATGCCAGAAAGAACTTCTCAACAGCTAGAGCCTTGGGTTCAGCCTTGGACTGCCCTCCCTTTCTTCCTAACTCCCTAGGTGATCTCATCCACTCTCATTACCATCTATATGGTACCATCTCTCATCATCTATATGGTACCATCTCTCAGTACCATCTATATGCAGATTCATACCTCCAGCCCTGACCTCTTTTCCTGAACTCCAGATTCCAATTTCCAACTGCCTTCACCACATCTCCACCTGGATATTTAACAGGCAAATCAAAAGTAATATCTAAGAAATAGAGCTCTTTTCCCTCCCTAATCGTTCCCAACCCAATAAACGGTAGCCCTAGTTGCTCAGGCTAAGATCTTGGGCATCATCCTCGAATCTTTTCTCTCATATTCTACATTCCATCCAGCAGCCGATTCTGTGGGTTCCTAGCACTTCCTACCCATGGACACGGCCCTTAGACTGCCGCATTCACTTCCTGACCTGGGTTCCCTGCTTCTAGCCTGGCGTGTACAGTCTGTCAAACAGCAACTGCAGTGGTCTTCATGGAGAATCTTGTCACATCATTGCTCTTCCCCCAGGTCCTTCAGCACCCTCTCCTTTGCTTGGAGGAAAAGGCAGGGCCCACAGTGGACGTCCGGGCCTGCTGGAGCTCCACTTCCTCTACCCTCTAGGGGGCTCACCCTGGCTCCTGCCGCTAGGCCCCTGCTTTCATGAATGCCCAGGCGTGTTTCCTTCGCCAGGCCTGTGCCCTTCGCCAGGAAATTGCCCCAGAGCGCAGGTTTGCAGACCTTCCACACTATCCTGTTGGACCTGGACAAGCAGGTCTGGGTTGAAAACCTTTGCTTGTTGGCAGGTCATCCTCCTCCTCTCCCGCCACCCACCGGTGAGTCTCAGCTCTTTACAGCTTTTTCCACTTCAAAGCTGGGTTTTCACCTCCTCTTCCCAGGTTTGGAATGTGTCCCTAATCACTGGAGAATCTAATTACCACTCCTTCTAAGTGAGTTCTCTGTCTCTGTTATGCAAATGTGGTTGTAATTGTGTCAGGCAGGTTTTGTTGCCATTTTATCTTTCCTCCACTGTGTCTCCCCACCCCCACCCCCTACCCCTTTCAAAGTGGAGTTGCAGTTCCTTTTATTTTTTACTGTGAGGACCCTTGAGGTCCCCAGCTCCCCAACCATGGAAATCATCTTGATTACCCACTCTGGATCCCAGGAGCCGTAACAGGTCTGCCTCAGGGCAAACAGAAGGAAAAATAAACAGCATTTAGTGGAATTTATTTTATTTCTTTGGAGATGCAAATCAGAAGTTTCCAGAGGAGCTCTGGAAGCCGCAGTGAGGGGCGGGAGGAAGTTGGCTGTGCAATGGGGAGCAGAGGCTGGGAAAACTGGCCTCTCTGCAGCCGCTGGGGCTGCGCTGATTCTAATGATGCTAAGCAGTGCAGGGAGGGTGTGTGTGTGTGTGTGTGGTGTGGTGTGGTGTGTGTGTGTGTGTGTGTGTGTGTGTGTGTAGGAGTGGGAAACAGCGCCAAAGTCCAAACTGTTACATTTGCTATTTTTGTCTTATTAAAAGTTTGAACCCTCTCTGAGCAGAGGCTCTTGGGAAGCTCTGGTCCATTTCAGCCTTGAAATTGTCCATTGGCAGCCCCGGCTGGGATTCTGGGGTCCCTAGGAGGGGTGAGCTCTGTCCCTGGGATGGTCTGGGACCACTTCCTCAGCTGCCACATTCTGCTGACCTTTGGCTTCCCTGAAGTGGGCAGAGCAGAAGGCAGGGAGATTGTTTGAGGTTCCGTTTATTCGTTCATTCACTCATCCATAAACACAGTGAGTGCCAGGCAATATCTCAGGTTCAGGGAATATAGCAGTGAATAAGTTAGATATGAGTTTCCAACCTAATGAAGGGAGACAGACAATACACAAATGGGTGAATATATATTATAACAAATAGCAATGAGTATGAAGAAGAAAACCCATGCTGGAGAGATGGACTACAG